GGCGGCGGCGACCCGAGAGTGTTTGCGTACAGAATTATTATTCCCTGGGGGCCGTGGTCACATCCTCCGCCCAGGAAGAAAGCAGGCTGGGACCGAGAGAGTCGCGTCCAGAGGGTCCCTGCGGATCCGTAATGCGGGCCGGGGCCGAGGCGAGGCCGTGACCTCCGCTGGGTGAGCGGTGTAGGTGGCGCGCCCTCCGGGGCGAAGGAGCCCGGCTAGTACCACCCAGAAGCAAGCGGCTCCACTTAACCCCGGATCCTGGGGTCGCGACCTTCACCCCTGTCCCTAGCAGGTCACAGCCAGTGCGGACACTCCGCAGACCTGGGTGGCGGCGTCCCTACGATGCGCGGCCCTTCCCCTTCCCCTTGGATTCCCAGCGCCCGGCGCGCAGAGGTCCCGCGCCAGTGGGGGAGGAGGAGCGAGACCCGGAAGATGCGATGTCTCGGGGAAAGGAAGGCTTCGGGACGCGGAGTCTGCATCTCTGCCCCCAACCCCGGCTCCCGCGCGCCCTTGCCCTCGCTCCCAAGCCGGTCGAGGGTCGCCGTCCCATCTCCGCAGCAGCAGGGCCCAGGCGCCCAGCCCGCGATCAGCCCGAGACAGGCCCCGCCGGGGCCGACAGGGGCGACGCGCGCCAAAAGGCGGCGGGAAGGAGGCGGGGCGGAGCGTGCCCCGGGACCCCGACTCGGACGCGGCCAGCTTGGGGGGCGGAGCGCCGGGCGGCAACCTTGGCCCCAGCCTGTCCCCGCCGCCCAGCGCTCCTCCTGCCAACGGCTGAGCGGCCCGCGCTGCCTTCCCGCCGGCCGGCTACGGAAGGCGCTAACGCCCGCGGCCACCCCTCCCCGCGGCGCCTCCCCTCCCCGCGCCCATATAACCCGCCTCGGCGGCCCGCGCCCGCCCTGCCTCCCCGCCCGCGCCCGCGCCCGCCCAGCTGCACCCGCCTCTCGGCCCGCGCCTGCCTTGCGCCCCCGAAGGGGTTACGCGGCGAAGCCGGGGCGGGCTAGGGCATAGATTCCTGGGGCTCCGACGGCACCAGGTAGGCAGCGCGGGGACCTGGCGCGAGGGGCTTGGGCGCGGTTGGGCTCCGCCGGCAGGGCCTGAGCTCAGGGCAGCCGGCGCATGGGCTCGCGGCTCCGAAGCTGGGAGGCGGTGAGAGGAGACCGTGTGCACGAACTCGAGCGAGAGTGACATGGAGGCTACCCCGAGTCCGACCAGCTCCTGAGGCGGGGCACGTGGGGCGGCGGGGAGCCCGGGTCGGAGTCCAGCCGGCCAGGAGATGCGGCGTCCTGCCAGCAGTGCGGCGGCCTTTGGGACCTGGAGCAGCCTCCCTGGGATTCCCGGAGGGCCTGCCTGGGGTTAACCCCTCTCCACCTCCGCTTCAAGGGGCCGTGGAGAATGCGACCCCGGGGAGAGGCTCCGTC